GAGAGAGAGAGAGAGCACATACAAAGCATAATGTGAAGTGCCATCCAGCCACAACACAGAAAATATAATCAGCACAAATTTTGTTCCCTTTTTTACCAGTTGATCAGCACGTTTCTTGGAGACCCACCAAGAAGATCCACTTAATCAGCTGAAATCTTCTCTTTTATTCTCACCACCCAAAAAAATGCTTTTAAATAGGGCAAAGAATGGAAAAATATAAACTGACCAGCAATCAATGGAACTATAAAAACTATTTTACAAAAAATCATGGCACAGACATAGATAAAACAGGCCACGCGATTGCTATCGAACCCACAAAAACCAGCCACCACTCTAGCTCAGATCTTGTCAATTATGTGATTAAAACACCATGAATCAACTAGATTGAAGCACAGTAAGATAGAATGGATGTCCAGGACTCGTACCCCAGCTCCGGCCCAACAAGCCTGAAACCGAGTTTTCCTCTGTACCGAACCTGAGTTTCCAATTTATTGTGTAATTTGAAAGGTCATAAGTCCCGGGTGCCATAACACAAATTCGAACAGGAACCACCATGGATGACATCGGTTCCAATTTAATCTTAGTTGAACTTGAGGCACACCAAAGAAAGGGCAAACTCGAATCCACTGATGTCCTAGTAGATGTGTTTCTTTGCCCTTGAATATCGGATGGGACCTTCCCACCGTTTGAGAGAGAAATATCGTGCCACCCCACATGTGATGTTTGAGATGGATCACTTTGTTGGCTAGGGAATGGGATGTCATCTGAGGTATTGATACTAACTGATGCAATATAATCAGAGCTGTTTCGGATAGTTAGCTGGAAGCCAATCTCACAAAAGGAATCAGAGAAGTCATGAGTCACAATTCGGGGACCATCCATCTGCCACTGTATGGGACTTTGCATGTCCGCACTGAAAATGAGAATGCAATGATACATTATTATTCGTTTCTTTTAGCTGCCACTACATTACAAGTTACACTTTCTTTTTGCTTTCACTATATTTCAAAGTTATTGGCACTCGTTAAACAGTGGAAATGAGAATGCAATGATACATTATTACACATTTCTTTTAGCTGACACTACATTACAAGTTACAATATCTTTTTGCTTTCACTATATTTCAAGTTACTGGCACTCGTTAAACAGTGGAACATTCATTAAACAGTGGAAATACTCTCTCCCTCTCTATCTCTGAGCCAGCTTACAGATGTCGATACAGTCAAGGCCCACAAACATTGGATTCCCATCCTACCCTAACATGTGGATGGGTATTCAAGTACTAATTACTAAATCACCATTTAATCTCGAAGGTAAATAGGATGTAACCACTGCTGAGCTTTTCTACACATTAATGTTAATAGTTCCAAAAAAAAAGAAAAAAGATTTAAGAGGATTCTTCCCTTTGTATATATAGATATGTCAAATAATTGAAGGGTGAATATTTCGGTAAGATTACCTGCAGTGACATAAATAATGGACAAAAAGCTGTTGTGAACCTGACTGCTGCTCTGGCTCAGGGCTGGTTTTTTCCCATTGAGAGATCAGAACTAAATCAACTGTTCTTCCTTGTTCCTGATCCACATAACAAAGAACTAGATATTTTAGGAACTAATTAATTACACCAGAAAGAAGTCCAAAAAAGTAAGAGCCAAAATCCTCTATTAGCAGCCAAAACCCTCTATTAGCAAGTAACACATGATCAAGAGATTTTAATCCCTGGAAGAATATTTGGCTGCCATTGTTCTCAAGAATTATACGCATTTGGGCATGCATTTGGAGCTTAGATAGATAAATCATATCAACTATCAGATATGGCCAGAATACTCATAATTTATTGGGATCATTAGAAAAATAATTCACATCAAAACCCTTTGTCAATCTTCAAGCTACCAAAATGGTATCAGGCAAGTTTGTGGACATCGAGTCCAAAAAGCAAAATAAGCAAATGGTTAACCAAAATCAGAACTCAAAAAACCATTATTAGTTGCCCAACACGCAATTCCATAAGCTGCGTGGGATAAAAATACAGCTATGGGCATGGATGCATCAAAATGCTAAAATTCCATAATAAGCAAGAAAGGACAAAATCGAACAGAATAAAGTATGAATAAAATGCTTTTGAGGGGAAATGTAAATCACAAATAAAACTCCAAACTTAAAGATTCAATGCAGAACTTAGCATAGTACTCAAAACATGGTTGAATAGAAATGTTAGGAAGAGCAGACCTGAGCCGACTGTTTCTCTTGATGCCATATTTCTTGAATATGGAATTCTGAAAGAGGCATGCTAGACACATCAATTTCTGATTTGCTAATGCTTGAGATATCCAGGCTTAAGCTGCTTTGCCGCTCAAGTGCACCTTTCAAACGGGATGTCTTACTAACTTCCTGATAAACAAAGATCCCCAAATAACCAAGTGGAAAGGAAACATTCATGGACACACAAGAACACCCAAATACAAAACAATGTAATAACACCAGATTATGGGAAAAACAAATAAGTTGAAAGGAAATTGAACTTTCAATCTGAAAAAAAAAATATAGGAACTGTAACATGAGTTTTTAAGAAACAAACTAGCATTTTTTATTAGCCTTACCTAGACAACTATCTGGTAGTTAACAAACAGATAAATGGACATCAGAAGACATTAAGAACGACTGAACACCAACTTGGTTTGCTTTTCCTTTTGCTTTTGGTTTCTTGGTTTGGGGGTTTGTAAGAAAGCATTTACTTCGGATCCCGAATTTCACAGAAGGTAAGAAGTCCCCATACAAACCATAAGCTTAAAAAATTGTGATAGCCCTTGACCAACTGCTAACAATTGACGGGGGCAATTAGAACTTGAGCGGTAAATAGTTTCCTGCTTGAGTGTTCGTTCATCCTGTTGTTGATCTCCCAAAGGGGTTGGCAACAATTCTGAAAGATGCCATGAATTTCCAACTGATGATACTTGGCGAAGCTGGAAATTCTTTGAGTTGCTCCTGTTCACAATGTCCATACGCACAAGGAACTCTTGCAACTTTGAGGGGGAAGGAGTAATCTGCACTGATACATCCAAGGATGGAAGAACCTGAAAAGTGAGAAAGGTATCAGTGTGTTCCCTCCCATTATTGAAGGCAACTAACACAATCAGATGGTCCAAAAGTGGTTACCCACCCACAAGGAGAATGTGCGGAATTTTTTGATATTTTCAATATCATCTCACTTTTCATGTTTTTGACCCATAACAAGATATCATTTTTATGATTTTGTTAATGTCACAAGGTAAGCTAATTTGGTGGCATATAGGATGAACACTTGGGGGGAAATAGGGATACATGACACCATAGGGCTTTCCTAGTGCTATTTGTACTTTCTGCATTTTTTGTGGAAACTGTTACCAATGGGAAAAAGACATAAGCTTTCATGAACTGTCGAAACGTGACCACAACATAGCAGCAGAAGCTATATCAATAAAAAGAGAGGTAAGCCAAGATGCATGTCATCTTCCAGGGTACAGTTAACCATATAAAATAATAGAGAACTCACCTCCAAATCATAACGCATTCTTAAGATGCGATAATTCATATGCTCTGATGGAGTTACCATTTCGTAATAGATCGACATATTCAATGATATGTTTCCTGGCACAACTGGATGTAGCCAGAGTGGCCACAGTAAGGTCGTCCCACCTTGAATTCCAGCATCCTGACATAAAAGAAAAAGAAAAGAAGACAATGACATATAGAACAAAACTAACTCATTTGTACAACCAATTTTTCTGCTTTTTTTTTTGTTTTTTTTCAAGAAACATATATTGCCTTAAGAAATGCTTTACAAACCTTAGGAAATGAAGAAAGCCCCTTCAACTTATCCATAGCATTATCCTGCATATCATGTATGTCATGGCTTATATGCTTTTCTAAACATCCAGGAAATTCCATGTCCAGGTCTTCAAGTCTCCCAGGAACGACAAATCTTGGATGACTTATCTTTAGTTTCATATTCTGCGAGGCCCATTCCCAAAGTTTCATAATTGAAATATACAGTTAACAGTTTAAATATATATATATATATATATATATATATATATATAAGAAAATGAAAACAAATATGAACTTCTATAATGCTTCCAATATGGCAGAATATGTCACAAACAAAAATTTTTGTAATCTGTACTATTATAAATTGGGAAAGTACACCACAATACAATGGATTGTAGGAAAACCACCACCTTCCATTGAAATGGACTGTGCTTGCTCTATGGAACATGATTTTCCTATAGTGATTATAGTATACATTCCCTAGTTGATTATGGCCAAAGAACCATACTTTCACCGATGAGTCTGAATGGTTTGAAACTTCCAAAATGATGCGCTGCAAATCTCCTGAATAGGCCATTAGAGGTAGTTGATGAATACGAGCCTCAAGTTTAGGTAGACTCTGGATATAAATTTTCAACATTAGATTTCATTGTCCAATACAAAAATATCTGAGAATCCTTCCATTGAGCACAACAAGCTGCATCCTAACCTTGATCACAGTAAACTTGAGTTTATTTTTGGAAGTTTTTTTTGATGCAGCAATCCTCCCTTTTGAACAATTCTTCTTTGCCAAATGAGAATCAAAATAAAGATAACCCACTACAGAGCCAGACAACGTCCACCTGACTCCAATTATCTGGAGGATACCTTCCATCTTAGGAGAAACCTTCAATTGTACCTAAATTCATAACATAGAAACAACATTTTTTTTATTGATAACCAAAACATCATGAGGAACAATGTTGTAAAAACAGTTGAGTGGTGTGCCGAGGCGGCGAGGGGGGTGTCTAAGGTCCTAGGTGCTAGGAGGGTACCAGGATTTCAAGGCGGCCCAGATAAGCATATACGCATACGCGTATGCTCCGAATGCACATATATACATATAGATGGATCGCTCATGCATATTTATGCATTTATATGTATTCTAACCTAGTATACATGCAAATATATGCTCATGAATGCTGAAAAAGATTGAAATCACTGAATCACATTTTACAATTTTAATAAATCAGTATTCACCCACTTATTTAAGTTTAAATTAACTAACAACCACAAAGACTAAAAGATGTAAAATATTCATGGAATACTCACATACTGAACAACAAAAACATAAGACCACAACCACTAGCTCATAGACTCTAATCTCCATACACATTCCCAAATTCAAGCTCTAAATCACCTGAAAATTTGTCTGATAACCTCTCTTGGCAGTTCACATTGACTTGAAATGATTTCTCAAACTTCTCAAAAATTGTCAAACCAAAAGAAAATTGACAAACCAAAAGAAAATTGACAACCTCCAACCCCCATCCTACCACCCCCAATCCATTCCCCTTGCCCAAGGGAATTTTCCACCCTCAGACAAAGGGCGAGCTATCCCGGGTGCCTAGGATTTGGCGACCGCATGCCCGCCCATGATGGTGTATTCAGGAAGGTCAGCCTCGGCCTAGGTAGAGCATCCTTGGCCCCTAGGCAGGGCAGGGTCACTGCCTAAGCTCTAGGCAGGCCGTTTTTTGCAACAATGACAATGTGTGAATTAAGTCGTGAAAAGATGAGAGGAGAGATATAAGATGGAAACAGGGAGGGAGGGAGGGTAATTGAAGGATTGTCAAGGCACCAACTTGATGAAGAAAGAAACTCTCTGTGGTGAGGCTATCCTGAGTCAACAACTCAATTAAAATTAGTTGTTAGCTGTCTAGCCAGGGACAGAATCATTAATCACAATTTCCTGAGTAGAAGTAAATAAGCAATAAAATGTTTTAAAATTAATGTTAAGGAAATAAAGAGAAAACATTCAAGAATAAAAACTCAACCATAAAAGGATAAAATATTTTGTTATCTTTACTTGCTGAGAAGCCAGAAATTTCTCTGTTATAAGTGCTGTTGAAATGGGTAAATGATTCAACATTAAAGGGTAAAACTTAACAATAAAAAAGTACATTGTACAAGGATATTCATTGCATAAGAATGGTGTTCTCCATCATTAAGCATATAAAATACTAGGCTGGAGAGAGCAACACATCCAAGCCACTCATCTTCCCTTGTGCTGAGGTAAAGCATCAATTGCAGAATAAATGCCTTTTTATTGAAGCTCACCATCATAGTCTCATCTCCTTCCAGAGTGAAATCAACCTCTGATGATATAAATGATGAACAATCATCATTTGATTCCCTACCATCAGAAAACCAAGTGATTAAAGCCTTCAATAATGACATTTTTAACCAGACACATGTAGTAAACACATTGTTAAATGTAATACAAACAGTTAAAATTAATACAGCAGCAAGGGCACGAATAAGAACATAGAAACTCTGAAAGTATGAACAAATATTAACGAACATAAAAACCAGATATTAGAAAGTGATTAGGAAGACTTAAACAAATACCTATTGGAGACTTCCATAGCATCACAGGATCCAGTATCAGATCTCCCTCCATTTTCATCATTTACAGACTGAGCACAATCCAGATCTGTCGAACTTTTTCAGAAGTTATAATTTTGAAAGATCACCACAATGAGAGAAAAATACAAGATATAAAATATCATACCATATTCCCCTGTGCTGGATATTGGGGAAAATTTGCATATTAGTCGAACACACGATACAACAATTGGGATTTGAAGAGGATTTTTGAACTCAAGATCAACTTTTATTGGCTCTGGTGAATTGAAAGAGAAAAGAGTGGTTAAATCAATAACACAACTACATGACCAAAATGTCAAATGCAAATGATTGCATCCAAGGTAGTATATTAGTAAAATATATTTTGAAGAAAGCGATCTGATAACAGCACATTGGAATAATTACTTTAATTTTTTAAAAGAGAACCACTTTCTTCTTATAAAGATACATGCAATCTAATCATATCGAGATCCTAGCATCCTAAAACAATTTAATCATGATCTGAGATAGCCTACAAGAGCATCGATTATTTATGAGAAAAATTAAATAGAAAATACATGCACATTAATATTATTAATGTCTTAAGAATCCTCTGCAGCGTTCTAAACATCAGCCCACCAGGATAATGCAAGCCAAGGCCTTAGGGGCCTCATCTAGAACTAGGCAGGTGCCTGGGTGGGGGAAGAGAAGAAGATGGGGGGGAGGGGGGCGGGGGGGCGGACGACTGCCTCTAGGTGGCCAATGCGCCATCTAGGCAGGCATCTCCCCTCTCCTCTCTCTCTCTCTCTCTCTCTCTCTCTCTCAGGCCAAGGCCCTAGGAACCATGTCTAGGATCAGGCAGGCACCTAGGGCTGGGGGGGCCTCTATCTCCCTCTCTCCTTGGCCCTAGGAGGCTTGTCTAGGACCACGCAGGCGCCTAGGGTGGGGGGACCTCTCCCTCCCTCCCTGAGACTTGGCACCTCATCTAGGATTAGGCAAGGAGGTGGGGGGGCCACTCCCTCCCTCCTTCCATGAGCCTAGGTGCCTCGTCTAGGACTAGGCAGGCGCCTAGGTTGAGGGGCCCTCCCTCTCTCAATCTGTTTCTTTATCAACCCCAACAACCACCCCCTCCCCCAACCACTCTTTCTCAGAGAAAACTCCTAGAGGACCAAGACCCATGGAAATGACATCACACTTGATCTCATTATGCAATCCCAAGATCTTCCTGACTCGAATGTTTCCCGGAGAGACCGACAATCCTTAGCAAAGATAACTTCATTAGTATTCCAATCTTCAGTATACGAAGGAACCCTCAGAGGCTTGTAGTCGTTGCAAACTGACCAGATGGACTACAGCCCCCCTTATTACCACTCCCTATGAGATCCTTTCTGGCCCTCGTTTATTGCTCTGCATCCGTAGCTGAAACACGGAATATAGATACAAAATACACCAGGCTGTTCCAAGAATTTATTAATGCTGCCCTTTCTACATGCAAAAGAAGCTGGTCCTTCATCTTTGCTCGCATCTCTCTATCATTAAATCCCATAAGCTGTGACTAGGTTTTCCTGTGCAGAGTGGAAGTCCCACGCAATTATTGGGAAGGAACAATCCCCATCCCACATTCCAAAGTAAGAAGAAAGGCCAGCACTTGCAGTAACCATATACTAACCCCCATCACCAGTTTTTAAATGAGAAGCCATCCAGTGAGTTTGCTGCCGCCCTAAAAGAGATTGAAATGTCGAGCAGCCAAAACAAGGAATGTAACTATAAGGGAACAGGGGAACCCACATATTCACCAGAATCTGATGTGGCATTCAATGATAGTCCAATGAACCACTCTTTGAACAGACACTTCATGGTCCCCATCATGGACTTCAACAGTCCACCTCATCTCCTCCAGAAGGTGTCAAATTGTGAACAGCCAAATCTAATCAAGCAAGAAGAATGAAGTAAAATAAATCCTTCTAAATGTGGTTCTACATCATCAACAAACTGTTCTTCATAAATTTTTAGCTTGTATGAGATGATATTCACTGATTAGAAATATATATCAATCTCACTCTCACAAGAGATGATATTCATCCATTATGGAAAACAAGACAACAAAATCAAAGTACAATTTTGCTCATGATATGTCAATGTGCGCATTATCAGCTATATATCACGCAAGTTTTTCGAGTGAAACAGAATTCCTGAACTTTTCTGCGGTAAGCATCACCTCCACAGTTCGTAACATGCTAATTCTAGAAGATCCCATCAACACCACACCATCCTAAGGTAAACAAAGCATGTGCCATGTACAAAGCATGTGCCATGTACACTTAAGATTCCCACAACATTTTCATTATTTAAACTAGATGAGATGCACAGATCAAAACAAACAGCAGACAATTTAGATCAGATCATATGAGGATGCATCCACGTGGATTAGAATGGCATGCTAGATATGACATTTGAAAGCACAAAGGAGGGAAAAACCATTATTTTGGGAGAGGGAGACAGTATGTTGTTTATTCAGTCATACCTCCTGCTACACAAATATGGGAGTCATTATTTTTTCTGGAAGACTTAGGTAGTGAATAAAGCCAATTTGCCCCACTAGGATTGACAGATGGAACCAAATCCTCCTCCAAAGACCGCCACACATGTTCATTGACAAGAGCCTACAATCAACAAAATAATTAATATATATATATTTCAAACAAGAACATGACCCTAAATTGAACACATATTTCCACGCATAAAGATAACATGCAAAACAAGATAAATGAAGGCATATTTAAATTGTTATTAGACAAATTTATGAGACTGCCTACTGCACATGCATCTCCAAAATTGACATGAGAAAAATCCTCATGGGTCATTCAAGAAACAAATTGCCTGATGGAATGGATGGGATCTGAGTTAAGTATAGCAAAGATGGATCCATGATAACTGTAACAAAGATTTGATCGGTATGTGCGAACTTCAACAACTACAATATTCGGCCGCTATGACTATTGCAAGTAGGCCACATATGCAAACAAAACCCACAGACCAATGACCACTACATATGCAAATAAGAGTTGTGTTAGCAGGCAATAAATAGTACCAATTTGATGAGCCGGTGCCAAGAACAAATGATCAACACGTACTTCATATAATCATATAGTCCAACTCAACAAAATAACCTTAAGAATCTTTTTTTTTTTTACCATTAAAAAAAAACAAATCTTGAGGAAGGGCATTTTAAAGCAAGACATGTAAATATAAACCTAAAATTCCTACGCAGCAGATGCATCAAAGAACTCTTGATCACATACCACTATACATTCTTCTGATCAAACAATACATGTGCTCTCTGAACCGATCAAACGCCTATTTTGACTATCCAGTACCAATCTAATTTTTCGAGAAGAGGAACTAATGGTGGCCAAATATGGCCCCTTGAACAAGAACTTGCTGCTTGGATCCCACGGAGAGGAAACCATCCACCACCAAACACTAGGAATTGTTGGGTTTTTGTGGCCTTTAAAGGCCTAAAGAGCTTGTAAGAAAAATGATGTATAGTGGAATATGCACTTCAGTGGGGTGTGTGTTGACTGACCAAAAAGGTTATGTCTAAAACCTTTGGCCCTGGTTATGTCTAAAACCCTTGGCCCTGGGCATGTGGCACATCCAAAAAGGGTTTGAAGTGGGTCATCCTTGTTGAGGTCAGAGAGAAGCCTAGAGATCATGTTTGTAGACCAGGAGAACTGTGTGGTCTCCTGTGTGCGGTTGTAGGCCTGTGAGAGCAAGGGCCAAATTCTCAACAAACTTCCGCACAACATGTACATATGAAAGCCGCATGGGAAGCAACCCTTTTTACAGGGACACATGTACATGTGAATTGAAAAAGGTAATCTACATTTCAAGATTATAGTCCCACTATTTTATTATCCAACTTTGACAAGCCAATCATGAGCCCCTACAAAGAGACTGGGTTGGATAAGAAAACATTTGTGGATCATAGTTTCTGCGGCGAGTGGAGCGCCCTTAGTGCCACTTATTTTGACTCACTGGTACCAGTCCACTCCTAGTATATTTTATTTATGTATTATAAATATTTTTTTGATTTTTTAATATTTTTCAGAATTTTAAAATGTCTTTTTTGTTGTAAATTTTCATAAAAGGGGCTTCTGAAAATTTCATAACTTTAAGAATAACACGTGGGACCAAAGATCCAAACCCACATGTGGCACACCGTGCACCCTAGGGACCACGCCCTATATTTGTATATCATATATTGGCACGCCCTATTTCTTTGCTAAAGGGGAAGTACGCCACCTTTCTAACTAAAAGGTGGCATGCTAAAAATATTTTAACAAAATAGGGCACGCCCTATTTTTGAGACGAATTTTTTTCAAGGGGGGCATGCAACTACTTTTTGGTAAAATAGTGCCATGCCACTTTTTTAGCAAAATAGGGGGACAATCCCCCCATGCCATTTGTTTAGGGATGTAAGGGGCACGCCCCCTTATTTCTTTTAAATTCAAATTTAAACACGATAAATCTAAAGATGAGAAACCTATTGATATGGTTTCCCAATATTGTGGGAAATCTATATTAGAATTATCTAAAAAATATTTTAAGTTTGATTTCAAATTTTAAAACGGATAAAGTATAAATTTGATTCGTTTAATTTTAAATAGGAGTGGATTGGGTCAAAGTGTATGGGGATAAGGTTCCTAATTTATCTACCCAAAATCATGATGGCTAATTTTTGGGATGGAGGGTTCTGATTAATCTCTCACCCCACAGATTTTCTAGTTATCTTAAAAGGTTTTGCTAGAAATTAGATAAGGTAGGAATCCTATTCAAACAAGGTGATAAGTTTTCTTTTATTTGAGAGGAGTTTGAACCTATTTGAGATCTAATCAATACATCTTATATCTCTCTCTCCAAAAGATCTCTCACTCCCTCACGCACCAATTTGGGGAGATCTCTCTCTCTCCCTCACGCACCAATTGGGGGGACCTCTCTTTCTCTCCCACGCTACCTTTTATCTCTCTCTCTTTCAACCAAAAGAGAGGCACGCCACATCCCTCTCTCTCCTCTATTTTTTTTGTCTTGAAAGAAAAAATAGAGGTAGCCTATTTTTTTTAGAAAAACCCTAAACTAGGGTTTGCTCTATTTTTCAAAGGAAGAAGAGAGAAGATTAACTTAGAGAGAATCAACCCCAAGATCAGCCCTATTTTGTTCCCATAGGGTTTGTATAAACCCTAGGTTATGAGCTCTCTTAAGCCCTAGAGAAAGAAGGATAGCCTACAAAGCTTCCCTATCTAAGAATTTTCAGCAACACCTTAAGGAGGAAACGCGCGCCATTGGTCACAGAATTGGGCGTGAGGTGTACCAAGTCCTGGTTGGGTAACTTCAGGCATCTTTCAATAAGTCTTCCCATTAGTTTTTATCTATTTTTCATTTTTATTTTCTATTTTTCTATAATTTTTCAGGAACTTATATTATGTTAAAAATTGTTATAAAGGCTATTTTAAAGTTCCTGAATAGTTTCTATTTGTCTTGACAGTAAAATAAATATCCTAGGTTTTATTTAGGGCCATTGTTTTTATTTTTCCAAGCAAAATATTGTGGAACATGTAGGTGGAATTCAGGTATTTGGAATAAAAGTAAAAAGAAAATTTTGAATTTAATACCTTGAGTTCCTCATAACCACACCTTTCAGGAATATCAAAGCCCTAGAGGAAAAGAGCAATTAAGAGACCAACTCTATCATCTTTGTCATGCTCTTGTATGGGCTCTACCAGACATCGGACAACCAAAGGAGATTAAGACTGAAGCATCGGGGCTGTGGGAGAAGCGTTGTTGCAGGGAAAGCAACCTGTATGTTACCATAGTGACTTGGCTTTGGGGTGGTTTTCCGCGGCAATCCTCTATAGAAAGTTCCAAGAGCATGATGCTCCCGCACCATGGGTAGAAAGAGACATGAATTCCAACTTAAGAGACACAAGAACCAAAGGCACTTGCCAAAATGATCTCCTATGAAGCTAATGACATTAATTCTCACAGCTAACATTCCATTTTAAATGCATATGCATTATTTGGCAGGATACCAACTAGTGTGCCCTACAAAATGATGTTTGATTGCGTTATCTCAGAATTATGATCTATATGATCCTAATAGCATATATAGAAGGCCAAAAGACTCTATAAAACATCCGACTTACAGCAGCTGAAGATGCAAAAGTCCTATGATCCTCAAAGAAGACTTTGAGAGAGGCGACATTGATAACAGGTAATCGCAGTCTAAGTGCGTCATACTTCTTTCCCAACTTCTGCAATGGCAATTAAAGTAACTCAATCTCATAATTCTTATGCTGAGCAATTGAACAACACTAAAATGCAGCTTATGATGCACTGCTACTAAACTACAGATGCCATATCTGAAGATGTATAGTTCTAGTGAATTCACCAAAAAGCTAATGTCATAGCCATATCCATTCCCTTATTCCTGTCTCTGGGAACCATAAAAATACAACTTGCTTTTGAGTACCTGAACAATTTGAAGGAAGTCTCCCAGTAAAGCTTCTTGTGTTGTTGGAGACTGATGGTTACAAGCAAGAACTTCCAACATATGCTGGATTGCCGCATTAGACATCCCAAGAAGTGCGTACCACCTGAGAGAAACAAACAAAACATGCAGAATATCTATATATCCAAACACAAGGAAAATTAAATAGTAATGCACGCTGAAAATTACAGGCTATATACCTTCCAATATTAAAATGAACATGGTCGCTTATATAACTCCAGGCCTGCTCCTTATACACAGGAAGAGCACTTCTGTATGCCCTAACAGCGTGTTTTCTCTGGAAAGAGAACACAAACATGAAGTTCTCTGTATTTTTCCAAAACAGCAAGTACGCAAAAATTCGCACCTATTTTCATTAAAATACCTGGTCACAGATGTTATAGCGATTACCAGCAAGAATGAGATGAAACCCATACTTCCGCAACATAGGTGGAGTAGAGCGCAGATAGCAATAAGATGCCTGCTCAAACATAACAGCCGCATGGAGACTAGGTTCCTGTGAAAAGATAGGATGTTAAGACCAGAAATTGATAAATCAGGGGAATTTTTTTCATATCTTGATAAAATTTACCTCGGTGGAAATACGGAAATAAACTGTTGCTGCTTCCTTATATTGTCCCTTCACTTTAAGTATTTCTACCCACCAAAGACCACATCTTGTAGCATTTCTCTGACCAGAGGAACCCATTTTCTGCACATCAAAACAGAGAAACAAGGTTATTTTGATAGCAAAAAACAAAGCAAATGCACTCACTGTACTCAAGATATAAGTACCTCAAAAATTTCATGTGTTTGAAAAATGTGTGCATCACAAAATGCTTGCAATACAGAAAACATCGTGGGTTATGGCCTTCTGAAGTCTAGCAATTTCAGTAAAACCAAAAACTATTTCCACATGTACTAAAACCCAGTATGAAAAGTTTAAATAAATCGTGGAAGTATTATATTAACAAAATGGTGCCAAATATGCACATCAGAACTTTCGGAGGATACAAAACTCTCAATATGTTCATGTATGGAGCAGAAAAAACTAATATATGTAACAACACTAGATATGATGACATTTTCCATGGCAACAAGATAAATACCCAAAACATCGATTCAATCAGGAAGGTTTCCTGAAAAAGTGAGCATGGATACCAGATAATGACTCTCAAGTGTGACCATTCAAAACAAAGATGTTGTGCTTGTGTGGCTATTCAAGGCCTTTACACCATCAAACTCATACCCTTTTACTGATTTGTTGGCTCCAGTGGAAGCTCTTGGACAGTTGGGTGGCTCACCTACCCATTGTGACTCACCAGACCTAGGTAGTCTAGGGCCGGGGAGAGGTGTGTCTGAGTCACAGAAACTCTTGACCACAAGGTTTGGACATATTACTGTGAGCGTTTCAAGGTAATCCTCCATCTTGGTGCCGGGGCAACATGTCCCCGTGTGGAAGAGGCTGCTTGTGAGAACAAGGGACAAACCCTCAACACAGCCTCATCCACAACATGTACACATGACAATTGCAATTAGATGCTAAGCCGTCTTCCCAGGAGAGCGCCCGGTGAAGGATATACACATGTGCAAAGAAAGGAACCCCCGCACTTTTGCGTTGCTCTGTGCACTTGTCCTTGGGGGTAGACCTGCAGTCTACAAAACTATGAAGCTCCACCTCCTATTGATCAGCCTTGATGGGCCAATCATAAGCCCTGCTTGAGACTCCAAGGCATGGCTTCTGTTAGGTCAATTTGAGAATGTGGCCGTGAGTTTCAGGGTAAGCCGAGTGGAGTACCCTGGATTACTGAATCCAAATTCGGCAGCTAATTTCCCTCGCTGTTTTTTTAGAAGCCCAAACCAATTATCAACTATATTGACCAAGGATTTTTGAGAATTTTTAGCATTTTTAGAAATTTTCCGGATGAGAAAATGATGAAATACAACAAATGCAAGAATGCTATGCAAGGACTTAGATATGTGGGAACTATGGCACATGTAGGGCTGGCAACGGGCCGCCCCAGGCCTTGGAATGATCCCTACAGGGCCGGCCCAAGCCCGTTCTGGCCCCTGACCAAGCCATAAAGGCTCTGACCGGACTAGGCTAAATAAAATAAAACAAAACAAAACAGGAAAACAATGAAAAATAGGGCCAGACCAGGCCGGCCTTGGCCCAAGCCCGGCCTGGCCCTACACTACCCATAGGTTGTGGTTGCCCGGCACCCTACCATTAGGCCGTGGTTGCCCAGCCCTTAGAACATGAAACGTGGCCCAAGCCTAGTTTTTTAAGGCCAGTCTACGGGGCCATTGCCACCCCTAGGCACATGTAAGGTCCAAACGGCCAACGGACCTCACATTGGTGCCCACAAATAGACCCCTTGGGGCAAGAAGGTGATGATGTGGTTTGACATAAGCATCATGGACTTCATTGGTATACTTGTAATTAATGTATGTGGACTCATGGCATTTTGTATTTGAGGCAAATGTGATGGGAGATAAGGGACCAAACCTTTTGGTGGGCCATGTAGGTGATGATGTGGTTTGACATAACCATCAAGGACTTCATTGGTACACTTGTAATTAATGTACGTGGACTCGTGCCATTTTGTATTTGAGGCAAATGTAATGGGAGATGAGGGGCAAACTTTGGTCTTTTCCACCAAAGTTCGAAGGCCATTTTTAACTTTGGTCCACCTCATGTATCAAGTAGCCTTGTTCACATGCCCATTTTTTATTTATCACATGCGTAAGTCAAAGTGAAAAAGAGATGTTCTAGAATATTCCATCTTTCTCCTGTCATGTGAAAGGTTAGAGAGGAACTCCCAAGAGTGGCATGCCATTCCTCTTTCTCTCTTTCTAAAGTGACAAATTAAAATTGACGATATTTGTAGAGGCTAATGTGACGTTTTTTTTTAAGGAAGTAGAAGCTAATGTGATGTTAATTAATAAATTGAAGTATGCATAGTTTTAAATCAAAGGGAATTAAGGTTTATAAAGCTAGGGGATAAGGTATTAATCCCAACCCTTGATTCATGATAGCTCATCAAGGATTGGATGGCTTGGATGAAGCCTCTCTCAACCCATAGATTTCCTTAATTAATAGCCAACATAGCTACAAGTAAAGAAGAAGCTTTTGGGCCCAAGTGGTCTGGGGGTCTAGGGGCTCATTTCTTATCCATCACAAAGCAATGTTATGTTATGTTGCTAAAGTTTTGTTTGGCTTGTGTTCAAATTCACGATCCTCCTCTTGTGTCAACTTTGTTCATGCCTTGAGCCCATACCCATTGAAGGTTAACCCATGGTCTTTGAAACTTACTTTTGCGTGAGCTATACTTCACACCATCTCCGCCCATACTCCACAGGCCATTTTCCCATCTCCATTCAAGGACTTCATTGGTATACTTGTAATTAATGTATGTGGACTCGTGCCATTTTGTATTTGAGGCAAATGTAATGGGAGATGAGGGGCAAACTTTGGTCTTTTCCACCAAAGTTCGAAGGCCATTTTTAACTTTGGTCCACATCATGTATCAAGTAACCTTGTTCACAGGCCCATTTTTTATTTATCACATGTGTAAGTCAAAATGAAAAAGAGATGTTCTAGAATATTCCATCTTTCTCTTGTTATGTGAAAGGTTAGAGAGGAACTCCCATGAGTGGCATGCCATTCTTTCTCTCTTTATAATGTGACAAATTAAAATTGACGATATTTTTAGAGGCTAATGTGATGTTTTTTTTTTAGGAAGTAGAGGCTAATGTGATGTTAATTAATAAATTGAAGTATGCATAGTTTTAAATCAAAGGGAATTAAGGTTTATAAAGCTAGGGGAAAAGGTATTAATCCCAACCCTTGACTCATGATAGCTCATCAAGGATTGGATGCCTTGGATGAAGCCTCTCTCAACCCATAGATTTCCTTGATTAAGAGCCAACATTGCTACAAGTAAAGAAGAAGCTTTTGGGCCCAAGTGGTCTGGGGGTCTGGGAGCTCATTTCTTATCCATCACAAAGCAATGTAATGTTCCTAAAATTTTGTTTGGCTTGTGTTCAAATTCATGCTCCTCCTCGTGTCAACTTTGTTCATGCCATGAGCCCATACCCATTGAAGGTTAACCCATGGTCTTTGAAACTTCATTTTGAGTGAGCTATACTTCACACCATCTCCACCCATACTCCACAGGCCAATTTTCCATCTCCATTCAAGCTTCAAAGGAACTTCCATGGACTGATTTCAGCAACCATTCCCATTCATTTCAGGCATCGACAATATCCTCTAATGACCTATTGGTGTGTGTGTTGAAGGCTCTTTGATTCTCCCTTGGTATGGTGCACATTAAGCCCATGATCAAGACTTGAGAGCGCACCTTCTAGCAAGCCACCCTACTGATTTTGGAGCAGCCATTCTCACACCAAATTGGAGAGATTTAGGTTGCTCCTTTTGGCTTCCGAAATTTGGCGCTCAGCGGGCCTCAAATCACGGCGCTATTGGAGATGGAAATCCAGCATGAGTGTACCTAGTCCCTTGAGGTAATCTTGGGTACTTTCTCTTTGAATATACGCCTTGCCAAGGTTCATTAGATCTTGTGACTTCAGTGAAATACGTATTATGAGTATGTATAATTGAGACAGTCGTCCATGTGTTTGTGTTGATGTTTATGTAAGTGTTGTGCACTGGTTTTAGCATACTTGTGTTGAATTTTATGTAAGTGCAAATTGCCTTGTTAAAGCAATCTCAATTGTGCCTTTCAATGGAAACTTGAGTGGAGGCGTATTGGAGATGTGTTTGGGCATTGTATCAGTCACAAGTGTGGCAGTTTTGAGTCTCTTTGCATTGGTGTTTAGCTGTAATTTGTATTGAGCATTCTTATGTACATAGGTATATGTGAGCTTGTCATGTAAATTTTATAAAATTGTTCACGCTTGTCACACCATTGCATAGATCTTTCATAAGTGTGGGTCACAGAGAAGACTAGAGGCCCAATAACTTCCTTTTTAAAAGAAAATTAGCTGTGCGAACAAGAGTAGTAACATTTTTAATGATGTAAAACAGAACAAGATACATGTTTCCATGTTAAACCACACCAGTTCTTAATCTTCTTGAATCCAGCAATCTTCTTTTAGCTATAGCATTGTTCAATTATATCAACAAAGACACATATAGCAGGTTACAAACTGCAAAGAAAACCATGGACAATTGGCCATCTAAAGGATACGCAACTCTCTAGGAGAAACCAGGAACTCACAAAGAACATGATTCCCAGCTTTCCAGCCAATGATGTAACCAATGCAAGCATAAAAAGCAGAAAAGATTTCAATGCCAAAAAGTCCTACAAGGTCAAAAACCATCTCTTTCAAAAAAAACAGAACATCTTCAAGATGTAAGTCATTACACCTTATTCTCAGAAGATTAAAAATATAAAAACAATTCAAATTCCAGTGGAACAAATGAGGTTGATATAGCTCGAATTGCCTGGTTGTGAAAATTTTCCAAAACTGTGCCCAATTGACCTTCTAAATACGAAATCAAATTTCTGAAGAAAATTCTCCAGGTCAACCAGGAGAGTTTTCATTCCCAAACAAGGAAACATCTTATTGGTAAAGCAAATAACATGTGGCACATCTGAGACACAATCAGAAACTTCATAGATGCAATCCAACCAATTTAAGTGACATTCATTGACCTCCACACCACATTTATACATGATTGCAAGATTACGAGTCGAGAATATATGTGTTATGTTAGGATGCTCACACTATAGAGCATTTTATAATTGTTACTTAACAAACTTTAGACACTTATAGACCTTTGTTTTGTACATGGAGTATTTTTATAGTAAGGGTATTTTTGGTCATTAGGAGGGGTGTGACATCACCCACCAAGGGTATGACATCACCCACATGGAACACACAAGTGGCATTTAATGTTCCATGTGGGTGATGTCACACCCCTCCTAATGACCAAATATATCTTTATTAAAATGCTCAATGCACAAACAAGGGTATATAAGTGTCCAAAATTTGTTGAGTACACTTCTAAAATACTCTATAGTGTGAGCACTTAACATAACTCTATATATATATACATATGGAAAAACCTAAAAAACGCCTATAAGCGAAATACTACAGTGTTTCGCCTCCATCATGGACTTGCTATGTTTGTGACGGTACCGGTCATGGACATGCTAGGTCCGTGGCGATCGAAAAACACACGCCGTCCTAGTATGTTTGTGACGGTACCCGCCACGGACATGCTAGGTCCGTGGCGGTCGAAAAACGCACGCCGTCCAATTTTTCCGGATGGCGATTGGCCTATGGGCGAGATCACTCTAGCATCTCGCCCATAGGAGTTGCGTAGATGCTTCCTATATATATATATATATATATAGAGAAAAGTTTATATAGAGGCGAGGCTCTAAACAATCAAATTAGAGCCTACCTCAAAAATTTCACTAGAAGAGGTTGTTTTCATGACTAAATATCCTCAAATTGATCATCTCAACATCAAGATGCATGGAAATAAAAAAAAATGGATTTCAAATTTTGAAAATAGTGTATTTTGTAACGCATTTTTGGACCGTCAATTTTCAAGATTTTCAAGTTTTCATAGATCTGTCGATCTACACTATTTTCGAACCTATAAACTTCATAAATATAAATGAAAATACATTTTAAGGTTATCACAAAGATTTCCAGTATTGAAACCACATTTCTCGACACTATTTGAAGGTAGGCTCTAATTTGATTGTTTAAAGACTAGGCCCTATACAAACCGCACCCATATATATATATATATATATATATATATACACACATATTCAGCCACCCAACTACCTAGGCGGCAGGAAGGATACAAACCGCACCCCTATATATATATATAGATATTCAGACACCCAACCACCTAGGCAGCAGGAAGGCCAAAATGCATAGGTGCCCCTTAGGCGTCTTGCATCCAGGCGCTTGCCTTAAGGTGGCGCCTAGGAGCTTGCACCTCGAGGCGAGCTGGTCGAGGGTGGAAATAGGCCCTCCACTAGGGATCTTTTGGGTATATCCTACCCTAAAAAGGGGAAAGGGATTTTGGGGGGCATTTTAGACCCCAAAACCCCTAGTGTACTTTAAAGAGAAAAACTCTCCAAAAACTTAGATTTTCAGATTTTTCTCAAGATCAAAAAAAATTTCAACATTCTTTATTTCGTGCAAAATCGAAAGATACACTTCTAGATACACTTCTCGATACTTTTGGACCTTGGAGTGGTCAAAAAAGAGAACTTGTAGCAACCAAAGGACATTGATTTGGGCCTATATCAATTCCATTTTGAAAAGGTTAGTACATTACAATATTTGAATAAGGGTTTGGTATTTTTTTTGTATAATGTGTTATGATTGATGTTTCTTTTTTCTTCCTTTCTTTTTGGTGATACTTCTACATGTTTGTAGTTGAAATATTTTGTGAATACGTATCGGTTTGGACCTATAGCAAGTTCATTTTGAAACGCTTAGTGCACTATAATATTTAATTTAGGGTTTGATATTTTTTTGTATAATGTGTTATGAACTTTTATTTTTTATTTTCCCTTTATTTCAAGCTCCAAAAAGAAAAACTGCCCTAAGAACTCCCTAGGGGCCCTAAACCCCTGCCCTAAGAACTCCTCAAGAGCCTAGCCCGTCCTTGTTCCTGGGTGCCCACCTAGGCGGACGGCCAGGCTCCCAAACTGCCTAGGCAGGCACATCCGAGTTTTTGATCATTGGGCACATCCAAATTTTTAACATTGACACAAGCGCGCATGCACACACATACATAAATATCACAAATTCTGAATACTTGCAGAACAACTTTGAAGTGGGAATGTGTCCTTACGGCAGTAAATGGCCCAAACCACTAGAAAGAGAGTCATGGTTTTAGAAAACATCAGAGCTTCTACAAACAAAACATAGAAGTGAGAGTTCCATAGTAGTTCTGGGAAGGTTTGGGAGCAGACCAGGAAACTTCATGTACAAAACATTTGCACATTCATCTTTAAGTGATGAACCCATCCCCAATTTGCTACACTTATCAGCTTCCACATTTGCCTCTAATTGAAACAATAACTTTTATGATGCCATTCCCAATTGTTTTCCTTTTCGTCTTTTTGGAAAGTTGATGCTAATCATGTTAAGAGGTTTCTAAATCTCTTAAAAGGAAAATTTGCTAGATACCATGATACAGACCAAGATCTCTTCATCCATCAAACAATATTCCAAGTATTGCACCTATCAAAGATGCAGTTATGGAAACAGCCCAAATCCATGAAGGATTGCATAATGCCTCAATCGCCAAAGAGAATAGCACTATGCAAAGGTCATGAAAGACATCAGCAAAACATGTGTCATAATGCTACTAGTTACATCTGGACCAACCACCAAAGTTTTAGCTTCAAGTAACTATTGCTCGTAACAGTTCTAGTTGCTCACTATTTCCTAAAAAGGTTGGAATCTAGCCTAAGTCACACCTCCCTTTAATATGACACATAATTACATGTATGAACAGACATATCAGTCAATAAAAATGGCACAAAGTAAAAGTCCACACTGATAAATCCCAGCTCCAAAACCATGCAAACCTCAAGGTACCACAAGTCTCTTGAGCACACAAAGATTTAAAGAGGGAGGAACAAAGTAAAAAGAAGAGAGAGAGAGAGAGAGAGAGAGAGAGGGGGGAGAGTAGCTGCTTAAAAGTCAGGAAAATTTCTCCACACCTACCAAATATAACTCTGGGAGATCTCTTTATGAATGGTCCCATTAATTGAAACCAGATTATTTATAATCATAGTAACTAGTTCTACACAAATTAAACTCAAGCAATTTTTGTCAGCTAAAAAATAGGAACTCACAGTTGTTCTCAAGACAAAAAAAAAGCCCATACCAAATACGTGCTGAAAGCATTTTCCATGTAGTATTCAGCCTCCTTTCCAGACTGATCCAGCATAAATAGTGAAAGACCAATCATTTCCTGCACATAAATTGAATATGACCCAGAGGGCCATGTTGAATCTGAGGGAGATGAGTTTAAAACAAATAAATGAACACTCTGCAGTTATCCACATAAAAAAATGTTCTGACACAATAAAAGAGCCAAAATTTGAATTTACTAACCCATGTGAAAGATGCCAGTTAATCAGAGAGAAACATGACAATAGCAGCAATCAAAAGGCATCCCTATCAGTCATGACTCATATGGACCAAAGGTTGAAGTCATGGCAAAGAAATCCTACCAAAACCGGAGTGAGATGGATACTGACACGGGGTGTCGATATTTAGTACGTGCCAAGTTGTCAGTACATGAGGCCAAAAAAAAAAAGTACTTTCCCGACATATACAATGTATTATTGTTGGAATTATGGGCTTTTCAAGGCCTTAAAGCAAAGATTCTCTCGCTCAGTGGGAGAAAGTGAGAAAAGATGATTTTGAGTGCTTGGCGTACTGAGGCCCAGAATCATGTACCCCAAGTAAAAGAGGCAATGAGTGACTCCGATGGGAGGCAAGAGATCCACCTCTGAGTCAAGGCTATACTTATGAGTGTGCCTCATGGTTAGTGTGTTTGGCCAAGGCTGGGAGAACCAAAAAGAGAATATAGAACATGAGTACCTTCAGAGTAACGGCCCTGTATAGGATGGTCATGACTCACGGACACGAGTCTGTATCCTGACACGAGACTATCCTATGGCGTGTGCACTCACATTCGCATGGTAAGTCACTCTTCTAATGTATGATCTCACTAAGAAGAGCTAGTGCACATGTGCTTCAAGAGGACCCTTGTATGCTAGCAATTTTATATCCCTAGGGGGCACCTGTAATCCACTATGAACTGGGTAATAGAAAGCTTGATTGGGATGACTTTGATGAAGCCGGGTTATACGTCTTTGTCATAGACTATGGAGCATAGGCTCGTTTGGTCATTCGGAGATAAGTGGACCACTATTCCAAACTAGCCTAGTGGAGTACTCTGATAACTAGATCTAAGCTTAGAGATCTCATTTACCAATTGCCCCATTTTATTTTGATGAAAAAATGTGTATTTATAGTGGAGAATCATTCAGATAATTTTTGGGAAGTTTTAAGATTTTTTTAAAAACAAATTTGGTGCCAAAAATATGTCATTTTATAAATTGTTTGGGGGTAATTGCAAACAAGGACACCTAGTGGGGGTCCACGGGGCACCCAAGTGGTCATAAGGTGGCCACATAGCAACCCCATGGCCCCTCTTGTTGCTGACATCCGCATGATGTCAACATAAGGGGACCTTGTTGTCTTTCAGAATTTTGTAATTTGTTCATTTTAGTTATATAGTCTTTTTTATAAAAGTTTGTTTTATAACTTAAATTATAGTATTTTGTCACATAGGAATTTGACACACGTGAATTAGATAGCATGTGCCAAGGGTTAAGGCTAGCCATGATATTTTGGCTTGAACCCTAATCCATGAGAGAAAATGAAAGTTTAAAGTGGCTTTTTATGGGGCATTATCACATTGGCTAAGCCCAAGTGCAGTTCATGGAATGATACATTGTGATTGGCTAATCTATGGGATATTATCCTAGTTGGAACATCTTTTTCAAATGACCATAAGGGCATGCCCCAACTTGGATTGCCTTTTTGCTCAACAACCCAAGCCTCGGATCTTATCTTCATTTACGAGTTCATGGCCCCTTCGTAGAGCCGGTGCTGCTGCTGCCTGCGTGTAGGGCCGCCCCCCACTCCCGTCCTGGGGTGCTCAAGGGCTTTTGTTTTTGGAACAGACGGTTGTGTTTTGCTGATGGCTCGAATCAAGCTTTTGTTGCGACATGCTATGTTCTCTCCCCTCCTTATGATATACTATTATTTCCATAAAGTTTTATAGACAATTATGGAATGATCAAAGGGTACACAAAGAAAAATTTTATGGGACAAGGACAATTTAATAAAATGGCTAATCTAGGATTTATGAAGTGATAATAGTGTGCAAATCACATTCATTGATCTTGATGGCTAGGCATAGACGTGTGGCTAAGATCATAACACGCTTATATGTCATAAATGAATAGCATCAAGGGCTAGGATTTACTCACTTAAAAATATCTTTCTACCATCAAGGGCTAGGATTTACTCACTCAAAAATATCTCTCTACCACAAATCTATATAAACCCTTACTCAACTCCAATCTCCACACACTTGAACCAACCTAGAAAGATAGAGAGACGTGAGAGAGAGCTCCACGCCCAACTCTAGAGTGCCTTCCCATTCTTCATTAAACCATATTTCCATTCCCCTTTTGGTAAAGCTTCTTGATTATAGTGATGGTGCAAAATCTCAAGCTGTCTAGTCCACATCTTCTAAGCTAATCATCGGTACCATCTTCTTTCTATTTTCTTAGCCTTTCCATTATAGTTTACACGCCATAATTCCTCCATTACAACAACATCCTCACCTCATTACCTTCAACTTGGGTGATCTTTCATTACTCTCTTGAACTACGCATGTATACTCCATAGAGTTATGTTAGGGTGCTCACACTATAAAAAAGGCCCACGCCCCGAGGCGCCAGGTACAGCCGCCCAAAATGGGGCTCCCATGTCTAGGCGTGCAGCCAAAGCTGTCTTGGGCACCTGGCTGACCGTTTTTTAGAACATTGGTCTTACTGAGGGGGCCCTTCATAGAGAAAAATGGAGGAACAAGATCCATATAGTTGACCCCAAGTAATTGGAATAAAGCTTGGATGATGATGATGATATAATAAAATTGTGAATATTTTACTATCAAACCTATAGCATTAGGAATGAACTCAAGGCATAGGTGATCAAGGTGGTGGAGAACATGATGTCCTAAGTTTCATTCTTATTACAGGTAGGGAATCCTTTCATCGCTGATCTACACAAAAAAAAAAGCCTACGGTGTTTTTTTTTTTTATAAACAAAAAAAAAAATACCTACAACGTTCACAGCAACATAGTGGAACACCCCTCATACTTGAAGCTCAGAGTTCGATCCTCATGAATTATGCTTCAAATTTTATACATTAAATGACACTCTAAGAAGTATGTAACAAAACATCAGCACATCTCACAACGATGTGACCCACAGTGGCAGATAGGACCGCCCTTTATGCTTGAAGTTTGGCGTTCGAAGGTCATGAGTTGACACTTAAATTGCTTCTTATTATTGTAAAATTAAAAAAAAAATTTAATCGAACTCAAAAATGTTTGTTCGCCAAGATTCGACCCTAACTTCAGGGTATGAAAGTACTAATGTTCACTCTACAATGTGAGCCACGGCAAGTGCTGATATGTACTACAAAGTAATGACACCATCCGAAACGTACGGTAAGTGTCAGTCATGGATCTAAAAGTGTCGCGCGATACCAAGTCAAAAGCAAGGCGTCTAGGTAACACTGACCAAAACATCTTACAAGGATAGATTGGGTAGGTGATCACATGGCATTAGTAAATAGATGATTTCGATCTTTTTTAGTAGGGCAGCATTTCAAAGTAGATATGGATTGAATTTGCATCTTATAAGAAATCATCATCAATGCCTAAAAATATGAATTAGATGACTGCAAAATGGCAAAGTACCTGTGCACCAGCATAACGCCTCCATGCCTTGTCAAGCTTATAATCAGTGGAAAGCAACCGATAACTTGACAAAGAAAGCTCATAATCTCTCAAAATGAAGGCATAGTCGCCCAAGACTCTGATTTGCGACTCTATAGAACTAAAAGTATACCTAAAGCAAGGATTTTAAAAACTCAATTTAGAATGACACCACGAAAGAAAAGTCATGATTATTGACCATATCCAAGAGAATACAGGATATTTCTGAAACAATCTTACATAGGGCCATTCAGGGCATCAGCAGTGTCTTCTTTCCCTTTCCTCCACCACAAGTTCTTTATTTGGTTTCTAAATCCCTTCCTCGTTGTAGAAACCTACAGAAATACCTCAAAAACAAATAAGGAAAAAAAAAAACTCAAAAGGATAGTACTGTTATCATGAAGAAATCAAGAACTATTTAGGTGACATTAACAGACAAAATGACCAATAAATAGATTATACCTGCTGATTGAGTGAGCGTATTTTCTGTTCCATGTAAGGGATGATGTGTTTGGAAGAGAGATCCAGCATCAGATCTTTTATCTACTTTACAAGAAAGCGTATCAAATTAGCTTTTTCGTTGCTCGATACTAATACTATTTTAAAAAGATAGCCTGTACCAATGCATGATTAAAGAACGTTAAACTGAGCCCCGAATTATGATCTTATCAAGAAAAGAAGAACCAAACCATCAAAAGCAAGTTATCAAAAACTCATGGTAAATGAAAGGACATAGAAAAAAATACAGATTTTGCTTACTAACAACGAAAAAGGAGCAAGAAAGTTTCATAAATTACCAAGAATTACCTCATCAACATCATCAATGTTAAGAAAACAGCCAATGTCTTGCCCCCCAGAGGTATCAGCTACCTGAGATAAGACAATTATAGTGAATCAACAATAAAAACTATGCATCGATGCATTGCTCGAAACAACAGAGTTTATCAAACACAACTTCAATCCATTATGACAAAACTTACACGACTCCACGGATTGTCATTTCTTTGCTCATCCCCTTCCTTGTATGAATTGATGCACAACATTCTACAGTCATTTGGGCCAAATGTACTCCTCATTTCTGCTAAAAGCTCATTCGCCCTGCGGAAAAATATTGAAAAATGAGTACACAGACATTTATTAAAGAACTAAATTTTAGCAAAAGGTCTTCATGGAGTTCAACTACGAAATAATAATATGTTACCTAGAAAATCATGGAAATCCCACACATACAAAAATCTAAAATTGGTAATAAACCCATGCCATCTGTTTACTAGACAAGTATGCAATTTCATTATCATTCAGACCTAAGTTTCCATAGAAAAGAGATGTTAAAATCTTAAAAGAGAAATCTGCCCAACCTACACGTTTATCGGAATCTTATATCTATTACAGAACCCAGCCTTTCCATCATTTACCTGGTATTCTTTGGTCTTTAACTACCTCTGTCAGAGAGAAAATGACCTCCATCAAGGGGTACTGTTTTTTGGTTGGGGGTTGGGGGGATGGGATGACATGGCACATGTCACATTTTATCAAATGCTTACAGATATTATGAAGAGCGATTTCCAATTTCCCCTAGGTGGGAAACTTATAAGTACCCTATCATAATTGAAAAATGTGTATGCATTGATCATGATACCTTGGAGTTTCATATATTCCAATGCACTAATACTGCATCCAAATGAATTAATATGCACCAATAATTTCAGAGTCTTACAAAGGGGACCTCCCAAATTTTTTCCTTTCTTTTTTTTTTCTTTCCTCAATGAAATGACTTTTTCTATTAAATGAAAAGTAAACAGATATACAGATTGTGACCAATCAGTATACAAAGGCACTGTTTGTAGTTGTGGTGGTAGTGGTGGTGGTGGTGGTGGTGGTGGTGGTGGTCTAGTGGAGACTAGGCAGTGGCGTGGTGGTGGTGGTGGTGGTGGTGGTGGTGGTGGTGGTGGTGGTGGTGGTGGTGGTGGTGGTGCTGGCAGCGCCGTTGCGCTGATCGTGGCAGCGGTGTTAGTGGTGATGCAACAGTGAATGTGGCACAGTGATGGCAGTGATAGTGGTTGTCGAGGTGGTGTGCTAGTGGTGGTGAAGCTGGTGGGGTAAAGGTGACTAGGCGGTGGTGGTCTTACAGTAGTGCTGCTTTTGCACTGGTGGTGGTGGCGGTGGTAGCAGTGGTGGTGGTGCAGTGGTGACAGTGGCTGTTGTGCGGTGGTAGTGGTGGTGGAGGTCGTAGCAAAGTGGATGTCATGGTGGAGGTGGTGGTGACCGTGGCTAGGCAGTAGTGATAGTGGCTGTGGCTGTGGTGGTGGTGGTATAGCGGTGACTTGGCACCAGTACTAGTGGTCTAGGGGTGGTGGCATTGCAGGTGGTGGGGTAGGGGTGGCTAGATGGTTGTGGTGGTGATGTTGGTTGGTGTTGGTGGTGGTGACAATGGTGGTGGTGCTGGTGGTGGTGGTGGTGGTGATGGTCGTGGTCATGATGTGGTGGTAGAGAGAGATGGCAACAGTGGTGGTGGTGGCTGCGGTGGACATGGTGTTGTGCTAGAGAGAGAAAGAGAGAGAAAGGGAGAGCCTAATTGAATTTTTCATTAAACAACTTGTAGAGGCTCAAAATAAATAAATAAAGTTGGGGGCCCAATTACAATTGGGTATTAATTCCAATTTGAAACCAAATGTCCCTTGAGGTCAAATTGGAGATAAATTTTCAGGTAAGCCCAAATTGCAATTTGACCTGGAAATCAAACGGAGCCAAAGTGTATGGGTGCTTTGTAAAAATTGATGCAAAAATGTGATAAGGATCCTCTTAAGCATGAGGCCTTATGATCATGAGGTTGGTTGTCGAAGCTCCATCTATTCTGAGAGAATCAGCGGCCGAATTTGTTCTCTCCAGTTTAGGAACACCCCAATGTTTGAGTTATGGATTGTCGTTTCTTTTTTTTAGTGGTTGAATCTGATTCTTTTGATGTTTTCGAAAGCCCAATCAGCAGAAGTGAGATAAACTAACAAACCAATAATACCCCAGGGAATTCCAGTCATGAAAGAAAGAAAATGATCAGCTAATGTTTGTGCTGAAGTAATGACAACCAGCAGCTGCCCATCTGCTTGTATTAGCAAATTTTGCAGCATCTTAACAATATGATCTCAACATCCCTTTGTGGCTCCAGGTGTCCGAATGAATATGCATAGTAACAGCCACCTTTTTTTTACCCTCAAATGAAGCTTAGGAATATTATCCGAAAAGACAGAGTCTATCACCGTATGTAGGAAAAATTAAAATACATGTGCTACAAAATTAATCACTAATATACACAAAATATAGAAACATGGACAACATCTCATATATTTGCAATCACAGCGTTGTCCCAGTTAAAAACATATGCATGGTTACTGAGTAGTGCCTTTGTATTTGATGTCTGACTGATTTACACATATCCTATAAATGACATATAAGAATGAAGAAGTCATGATGGACACACCAGAAGATCATTAAAATAAATAAGCCAAATTGAGTAAAAAGAACCAAAGACCAAATTTAAGTGTAAAGCAACCCAACTGAAAATCGGAAGACAGACAGATGGTACCTATTTGAACTACCATCCTGACTGTCATGTATTAACAAATAATACTTCAGTATTTTCGGATCCATTGCACCATCATTTAGCAATGAAGGTAACTGGTCAGTATTGAAAAGGTCTACAAATTTGTTGATTGGCTGTTCATCCTTAGTAGAGACTACAATTAAGCCTGTCAAACAATTAAAGAAAGACATATATTAATCGCAAGGGGTAAGAAGCTAAAACAGCAGATTGATCTTCTCATTTGCTCATATTCAAATTGATCAGATATCAAGATAATCATGAGAATTATCAAAAGAACTACAAAAATGTAAAAGAGTGCATAGAAACGATGTAGTTTCACAAAGAAAGTATTATATTAAAGAAATTCCACAACTTACAGGCTACTGGGTGATCAAAAGCTTCATGGTCTGAAAAGGATACAGTATGTAAAAGTGCCTTATTGAAGACCCGAAACCATGGTGACATATATTCTGGATCTGCCACTGCACCATAAAGTGAAAAGGGCAGAAAAAAGTATTACTATGTGAGATAATAAAAGTAGCTTAATCAGACACTAAGAGATCCTCTTAACAGTCGAGAATTTCATCTATAAGAGAAAGAGAGAAAGACAGAGAACATTCGGATGGGTTGAAAGTCCAAATTAGACTTTTCAAATCAAATGCCAATTAGACACATCAATTTAGTCACACAAACTTGCTAGATTGTTTCGAAAAGGAAAAAAGAAAGTTGACTTTACTTGGTACTGTCATTTCAAGTTTTGGAGAATCATCTTGAATGTCATTTAAAGCCTTCTCGTTTGCATCACTGACAACCTTCTTCAAATGCTTTTCTGAATCCTCAATATTCGGTTGACAGATGTCAGAAGCATAAACCAAACGTAATTTGAAAGTTCGTAGACGATAGGGCTGATCATTCACAGTACGTACTGGAACTGAAAATTTTAAGCACCAAATGAATCATTTAATTTTTTGAAATTCCAAATGAATCATTTAATTGTCCTAGGAAATTATTCTACTAGTTCAATAGTACTAATGGAGATATCCAAGCAAGATTAAAACACCCATATAAATAGCCAAACTTTTATATTATAGCTGTGATATTTACAAGCAGATGAAATGGTATATAGAGAATCAAGTCACATTATCCCACCAACATTAACCACAAGAAATAAATACAATGTGTATGTATGTGCTTATGAGAGAGATTTATGACAGATATGTAGACACAAGACATCATTAAAAATATAAGCCTTTTTTCAAATTACTGAAAAGCAGATTCATGAGAGCTGCTCACCATCAATATTTCCGAAAACTGAAAATGGTTGTAGCATCTGAATAAGAGTCAAGTTGTTCTTTTGACATGCTTCTTCCACAAGTTGGGTTCGAAGCACCATGACAACAGGGGCTATCTCATCCAATAGCATTCTATCCAATAGAGAATTAGTCCCATCTAACTTCTCTTCTGGTGGTCCAGACATTGTACCCCAATTTAGACGAACACTTTGCTATTGTTCTCCTACAAAGACAAAGCACACACACAAATTTAACCGTGAGCCAATTAAACTCAAATTACCATGATGAGACAGAGAGCGAGAGCGATTGATTAAGAACCAAATAAATTCAAGTTAAAAGAACATCACCCACCAGTTAAAACTGTAATAAATATTGTTCTGATGAAATTCTACCTTCTTAGTAAATAAATAACTGAAAAATCCAATATACATAAACACATCATTGCAAATAGTTTTTTACAGGCAATATGATGATAATTCAATGCATAGATTCATATGCACATGCCAAGTAAATCTATAACTACCAATTTTGAGTTAATAATAGCCAAATTTAACTGAAATTTTGGCTTTGCATTCGATTAAGCTTTGAGCAATAAAACACATAAAAAAGTACATGAAAACCCAAAATATTAAGGCCCCATTTGATAACTTTCTTGCACTTTCCTCGTTTGATAACTTTCTTGCACTTTCTCTAGGAATTTCTGGGAATCCCTAGGATTCTAGAAAGAGCAAGTGGAGCTATACCGACAAGTCAGGGACCTACTCGAAAAAGGGTTCATCCAAGAAAGCATGAGTTCTTCTATGGTGCAAGCCTTGTTGACCCCAAAGAAGAATGGTTCGTGGCGAATGTGCTAGACAAGTTGGGATGCGCCCAAGTGTTTTCCAAAATTCACCTAATAAGTGGAGACCACCAAATCTGAATCAAGCCCAATGACAAGTGGAAAATAGCATTAAAAACATGTGAAGGATTGTTAAAATAGCTAGTCATGTCAGTCGGCCTCAGCAATGCACCGAATACCTTCATGAGAGTAATGAATCAAGTGTTTCAACCCTTCATTGGTAAATTTGTCGTTATTTATTTTGATGACATCCTTGTCTATACCCAAAACCAAAAAGATCATGTTGATAATTTAAGGGCAGTTTAACCATACTAGGAGTTGAAAAGCTTTACATTCACCTCAAGAAGTATGTTCTAGGCTTGTTTGACCTCTTCAAGTGTTCGGGTAGATGAAAACAAAATTAAGATGATCCAAGATTAGCCAATGCCCCTAACCATCCACGAGGTACGGAGTTTCATGGACTAGCCTCTTTTATCGGTGTTTTAAATTTCAGCACCATTGCAACACCCTTAACTGAGTGCCTACAAAGAGGCATGTCAGAAAGAGCTTTCAGCTTATCAAATAAAAGCTATTGACAGCACATGTGGTGGTCACACTGTCCGACTTCGAGAAAGTGCGAGCTTGACTGTGATGCTTCGCTTATTGACATCAGTTGAGTGCTCACTCCAAGGACACCCCATCGCCCTTGGGCATTGGCAGTATTATCTCATCCAGAGAGTGTTCACATTGAACTTGGACCATGAGGCACTCAAGTATATAAACAACCAAGGAAGCCTTAGTTAAAGACAAGCTAAATGGATGGCTTCTTTCAAGAGTGCAGTTCCATGTTAAGACACAAAAAGCAGGCGACTCAATCAAGTGGTGGACACATTTTGTCAGCACGTTGTACTCCAAAACACCATGAGTGCGCACATCCTTGGGTTTGAGGAGATGGAGTTAAACCAAGATGATCCAGATTTTGGAGAGGTGTGGAGATCATAGAAGGAGGGCAGAACATGAAGCTTCTTACTCCATGATGGATTTTCTTTAACGAACACCTTTGTGCATTCCTAATAGCCCTCTTTGACAGTCTCTCATTGAAGAACTGCATGCCAAAGGTTTGGGGAAGGCATTTTGGCCATGATAAACTAGTTCCTTGGTGGAAGACAAGTACTTCCCCAAAAATAACCAAGACGTGAACCACCTAATGAGGCATGCCATACGTGTCAAATTTGCAAAAGACACGCATAAAATACATGTTTGTACACTCCCCTTACCGTCCCTAAATCACATGGGAATATATAAGCATAGATTCTGTTCTTGGCTAGCCAAGGACCAAGGTTTTAAAAAACAGATCAGCGGCACGGATCATCCATCCAAAAAAGCAGGTCGGATCGGCGGATCGGCCATCCGGATTGGCTGGTTTCAGCCTAAAAAAATTCAAAAAAACATTAAAGTTTATCAAAAATCCAGTATTTTAAGTTTACAAAAAAAAAAATGGGGGTATTGCATTATGGATTTCTATTGTTTCACTGAAAATACGAAAATAATGAGAACCCATATCATGTCTAAGTGTTTGTTGACCATTACATTCATTTCATAGTCAAAATGTAGTTTAAAATGCACTCTAACTCATATTTTTTTGTGTTTTTATAATCTCTAGTGTCACTAATGGTCGTAAAGATAAGGAGTCTTGTCTTCTCATTTTTTACTTTTTCTCTTTTCTTGAGAAATTAATTTATTAAATCAATTGTTTATTTATTCATATTTTTATTAATGTTTCATCTCTCTAGAGGTGTTGTATTTAATTTATCTCTTTAGTGGTGTCGTTTTCGTTTCTATTCGTATTAAATTTATAACTCATTATTTGCTTGAAAATGTTGGCCTCACTTGCTCTCCATTGATTTCGCATATTGATATTGAAAATATTTGCCTCTTTAGTTAAAAAAAAAAATTGGGTGGTAACCTAGTCCCCAACTTGTTCTACTTTAATATGCATGAGAATGTTGCATAAGGAAAAAAGTATTTTTCTTGATGTATAGGAATGCAAATTAAATGGAAAAGAACAAGCTGCCAAAAAAATGGAAAAGAACTAGAGAGATTGTGTATTTTAGGTCCTATCTCGAGAAAACAGTCCTTCACCACCCAATCTGCACCCTAAGCCCATTGATTTATGTCCAAGATCATAACTAAAGCACCCTATTTATTCTTTAAAATGACTTAAAAAGTCTTAGGCCTCTTAAGTAATTTTGCAAGAAACATCATTAAAACTAGGAAATGATATGCAATAGTTTATAATTAATTCCGCCATTTCAAGACAAGAGCCCCGGCTTAATTGGTAGCGCTTGATTGGTAGCACTTGACAATTTGCAATGCTACATCCTAGGCTGAATTCCTACCAAGGATAGGAGCCCTCTCCCCATTGACTCCCCCAAAACAAAAAAATTGTCATTTCTTTTGATTTAAGTTCTAAAAGCTATCCTATGTTCTTAATGAAAAACGTGAATTCTAGCGTTCTACTTGATAAGCCCAGATTTAGTGGAAAACTGCATTTAATTTTAGCGCAACCTAATTTCTTTCACCTTTAATAAGAAAAAACAAAGTTCTTGTTAAAGGTGAGAGATATTGGGTCATTTAAAGGGTTTTGGGTCCTTTAAATAAGAAAAAGATAACCCAAAAACCTATTATCTCTCACCTTTAATTAAAAAGATATAAAAGGTGAGAGATCAATGGGAACATAGCAGTAGAACAAACCATTGGCATAAATGAGGGCAGAGGTAATAGATACATTCGTAGGATTAAGATATCAGAAGTGAAAGACGCTTTAAAAAGGATGAAAAAAAAAGGCTTTAGGACCATATGGTATCCCGATAGAGGTTTGGAAGTGTATGGGGGAGATTGGCATTGACTGGCAGACCAAGTTGTTCAGTATGGTGTTGAGAACAAAGAGAATGTCAAACGAATGGAGAAAAAGTATTGAGGTACCTATTTACAAAAACAAGGGAGACATATAGAATTGTGCGAACTATGAAGGGATCAAACTTATGAGACACACTACAAAGCTCTAGAAGAGAGTGATTGACCAACGACTAAGACATGAAATGAGTGTATCAGAAAACCAATTCGTTTTTATGCTAGGGAGGTTGTGACCGAGGCTATTTTCCTACTTAGACAACTGATTGAGAAGTTTAGGGAGGTTGATCTAGAGAAATCTTATGATAGAGTAACTTGAGATTTGATTTAGTGGGTGTTGGAAAAGAAAGGAGTCTCTAGACACTACAACGACTTGGTGAGATATATGTACGATGGAGCATAAGGGTGGCAATGGGTCAGATCTGGGTCCGGGTCCAGCCAGTTTTGGACCTAGATCCAACATGTTGGGTCCAAAAGTGGGACCCATGCCCGTACCCGTCAGGTCTTGGGTCTATCCCGCCGGGTCCATTGCCACCCTCACTATGAGCTTTCTTTTTTGTAGCCTACAATGATGAACAACAGAGAACTAATTTTTGAGGGGTGGGTGATTAAAGAGAGAGAGAGAGGGACATTCAAGATGCAGAGAGAGAGAGAGCTATGTCTCCAAGAAACTGAGAGAGGGAGAATTGCAAAGAGGGAGGATGGCGATGGGGTTTGGCCATTAGGGGAACAAGGGAAGACAAAAAGTATTGAAACGATTTTATGATTGGAGCTTTGGCCTTTGGGTAAACTAAAAATTCAAGTCCAGGTACCCGCCAAGTCGAGCATAGCAGGACCCGTACTTGGACCCAAGACTATCCAAGTATCCTTTATTGGACCCGAACCCTACCTGTGGGTCCAAAACTTGGACCCATACCCGGACCCATGTCGGGTATACCCGACCGGTATGGGTTGGGTTAGAGTCAATTGCCACCCCTAATGGAACGCTAAGATGAGTGAGTTTTTAGTGACAATAGGTCTACATCAAGGGTCGACGTTAAGCTCATACCTCTTTGTCTTAGTTATGGACGACTTAACTAGGCACTTAGAAGATACGGTACCGTGGTGCATGTTGTTCGCAGATGACATAGTTTTGATTGATGAGACCCAAAACAGCGTCAACATAAAATTAAAACTTTGAAGGGATGCTCTAGAATCTAAATGTTTCAAAATTAGCTGAACTAAGACAGAGTATGGAATACAAGTTTAGTATTAATAGAAATATAAACGATGAAGTAGTTAAGATTAATGCAAATAAATACCAAAAGGAGCGCCTTTCCGATATCTTGTGTCGATAATTCAGGAAAATGGAGAGATTGAGGAAGATGTCACACATAGAATTATAGTTGGGTGGGTGAAGAGGAGATATGCAACCGGAATTTTATGTGATCGCCGCATACCAATGAAGCTAAACGGCAAGTTCTATAAGACAACTGTGAGACCATCTTTGCTCTATGGGATAGAATGTTGAGCGGTCAAGAAACAATATACCGATAGAATGAGCATAATGGAGATGAGGATGTTGACATGGATGAGTGACAAGACAAAAAGGGATAGAATTCGAAATAAATACATTAGGAAAAAATTACATGTGGAACAAATAGGCGATAAGATGAGATAGAGTAGACTTAGGTAGGTTGGCCATGCGTGACGCAGACCCAGTGCAGCACCTGTTAGAAGGTGAGAGTTAGTTCAAGTGGAAGGCTCAAAAAGGATAAAAGGAAGGCCCAAAAGGACATAGATGGAAGAGTTAGAAAATAAATGGGCCTTATAGCCTTACTAAGGGTATAACCTTTAATAGAGCATATTGGTAGACCAGGATTCGTGTAGCCGACCCTAATAAGTTGGGAAAAGGCTTTGACGATGATGATTAAAGGTGAAAGATAATAGGTCATTTAATCCCACATCAGTATTTTATTGTATTGAAAAGTTTACCTCCAAAAAGAGAACGAAGCTTCGCGTAAGTGAGAAGTTGGGATGGCTTAATTCCACATAGGGGATATAATAACAAAGGACCCAAAAAACTTTAAATAAGTTGATAACCTTTTGGTGTGAAAAGCTTGTAAAGTGAATGGCAAGACCGCATGACCAAAGGCACCCCATGCACTAGCACGGTGGGGCCAAGTAAATAAAAAATAATAATTTAAAATAAAAAATGGCCAGATTCGAAAGTGAATTGGCCGATTCTCTTGTGATAGAACCGGTTGGTTCTTGATTTGTTAGTGAATCGGCCGGTTCTTAGAGAGTACCGACGGGTTCCCAATATATTAGGGGAACTGGAACAGTTCCCCTTATTACCGATCCGGATCAAGTAATGTCGATCTGGATAGACACTTTTTAAAACCTTGTAAAGGACCTAATGAGGGGGCATGGACGCCATCTCTGTGGTCGTTGACCGATTTTCTGAGATGTGGTTAAGCACCATGGCAGCCCTATAAATATTAATTTGGACCAAGACATAAGTTTCTTAGCCACTTTTAGTGGGCTTTGTGTAAACATCTTGGGATTAATTGCATTATACTCATAATCCTCAAACAGATGGTCAAACAAAAGTGGCTAACAAAAGTACAGAACAATTTTTTTTTGATAAACAGGACATTTGGCAACCTGCTCCAATACTTGTCAAGGAAGAGACATTAAATAGTGGGACATCGTCCTACCACAAGCCGAGTTTGCTTACAACTCAATGGTGAACTGTTCGACCGACAAGACTCCCTTTGAGGTGGTATATGCACAAGTCCCTACACACTATCTCGACTTTATCCCTTTGCCAAATACAGTCCAGGCAAAGAAAGCATTCCAATACCTTACTGAGTCTATGGTGAGGATTCATGAAGAAGGTCGTAGAGAGCCCAAGGCCAATAATACTAAGTACAAGAAAATGGCGGGCACAAGTCATTGAAAGCTGGTTTTCATAGAAAGAGACTTCGTGTGAGCGTATCTAAAGAAATAGAGGTTTCTAGTAGTCACTTACAACAAGCTCAAGGAGACGAATGTTGGACCCTGCCACATGTTGGAGAAAATTAATGACAACTCCTACAAGATCGAGATGTTGCTGAACATCCACACTCACCCTACCGTCAATATAGATTTGACTGAATATTATGGTTTCCAATACAAAGTCTAGGTGGATTGTTTCAAACTAGGGAGACTGATGTAGGCACAATATGGGCATGACAATCTTTGGCATGGGCAGTTGGTGGCGTCCCACCAAGTCCAGCTCCGCATGTGGGCATGTAACTTCTAGCATTGACTATTGGTTTCTATATAATTTAATTGTAAATATATTGCAAAGAAAGTTAATGCATAGATGAGTATGAAATGTGGGAAATGTGGTAGAATTAAATAGGTTGGAAGTAGCGTTGTGAGGGGAGTTGATAGAAGTCATAACTTGCCGATGAAGTTGTATGGGTGTCTAGGGAGGTGGGAAAAAATCTCTAAATTTGTTATAGAAATGATGTTGGTTTTTTTCCTTTATTTTTTGGGAAAAGTCTCCCGTCGACATCATGTGGATGGTGGAAGGATGCTTCTCCACCCCACCAATGGTTCAAATTAATCATGGCCACATCCAACAGCCACAAAATAGTTTCATTTTTCATTGTTTACTTAAAAACAATATTTATTTGAAAAATTCAACAGCATTTAGATCAATTTTTTTGTTCATAATATCTTTTATCATTTATATTGGTGCACTATATAAAAATACATCTACACCCCAAGTTTTAGATATCAGGGGTATTCTAATCAATTTTTTTGTTTAAAATATATTTTATCATCTTTATTTGATGCATCATGTAAAAATACATCTACATCTCAATTTTAGACAAATATCATTTACATATAAATAAATATATAAAAGGAACTATTTGGGGCCATCAGATGATGCTAGGTTCAATTTAAATTGTTGAAAGGTGCTTCTGCACCTTCAAGCATCCACATCATGTGGATGCTATACCATCCCTTTCTTTTGGGGAAAACACACAATTATAAAATTGTGGCATGCCAAGCATTGAGATATGTAATACTCATTTTAAAGTTTCAAAATAGTTCAAATTTGGCTTTAGTAGTTGAGCACATTCTCCCACAAGTTGTACTTTTCCTCTCTTTCTTGAATATTTTTTTTCCTAGATGTTGTTTCGTTTTCCCTCATCACCAACTGAAGTATAAGCCATGGAATCTAGGGCACAACTTATCCTTATCATCTCATCTAGAGCTTATCAGCTTCACCATACCCTTTATGCACATCTCTCGAATAAGTATGTTATATGTGATGGCACTATACTGAATACCAGAGGCCACCATCTTATTTTTTACAATAAAAGCCTCTTCAATTTCTTCTACTTTACTAAACCATCAAGCTAACTATCCTGAATATAACAGTCAGGCTTTAGACCATTCCTGAGCTTTAGGGCGATAACCAGTTTTGCTTCTTGAGTCCTTTTCCCCCTTGCATAGACATGCACTACAATCACCCTAAGCATACCCATCAGCAATTAACCCTTTTTGAGCCATTTTCTTCTTCAATTCAAAAGCTTCAAATAGAGAACCAGCTTTGCAATGACCCATAAATAGGGTTTTACAAGGTACGACATTTCGTACACATCCCCTCCACTCCATCTCAAAAAAAAAATCTCTTTTGCACCTGGGTCCCTCCCTCCCTACACATCCCCTCCACTCCATCTCAAAAAAAAAATCTCTTTTGCACCTGGGTCCCTCCCTCCCTCCCTCCCAACACATCCCCTCCACTCCATCTCAAAAAACAAATCTCTTTTGCACCTGGGTCCCTCCCTCCCTCACTCAATTAGTCTCCTCAAAATTACTCGCAAAAAATTACAAGAAATAGCTTTTAAAACATGAAGAATTTCAGAAAATTGTAAATCCCAAACAATACCACCAAAATTATCCAAATTAATTGTGCTCCATGTCTCCAAACATCCTTCACCAGAAGATTTCAGAAAATTGTAAATCCCAAACAATACCACCAAAATTACCCAAATTAATTGTGCTCCATGTCTCCAAACATCCTTCACCGGAAGAACTCTCCTAAATAGAATGTTACAAGATTGAAAATATAGTATTTAAATGACTTCTACAATGCTCAAGATATACTAACGATAATTATTCAAAGAATGAAAATATGGGCTCTCACAGAAAATGAAATTTTGACAATTCACCCTGAAACTGGCCATTATAGACCTTCTGAACGCACCCACTTATTATTCTTTTCAAGCAAAGCACGAACTCAAGTTGGGGCATCGCAGATTAGGTCTAAATCTGATATTTTTCATTGAAATAAAGCACTTGAATCTTCTTCAAACATAACTATCTTAACATATGCATCAATAAACACATCAAAAACCACTGGCTTTGTACCAGATCCACATTGACTAAATCAATTAACGATTGACTCCATAATCTCGCATGTACCCAATTTCTCAGGTGAAGAATAAGCTCTAATTATGCATTCTAAAGCACCACTAGCACGCCCAAACATCTAAGAATTACAACTATAATTGAGAATGAATCTAGGGTTTGTCAATACCCACTTGTTTATGGTCTCACTGTTGTAAATATACATTTATCTTCCTTGAGCTCTTAAAAAAATAAAAACCTGTAACTCACTGTAGCTTTCTCTGAGCGCTCTTTGCAGCAATGGGAACGACGAGGGCAATAGGCGTGAGGCGAAAAGAAGAGGAGTTGCAGCGTTGAGCTTCTGTGGGCCGAATGGCTTGAGAGCTTCGGTGGGCCAGTTTTAGTGTCTTAGGGCTCGCCTCGTTGAGTTCTAATTTTCCCAGAAAGTGGCAGCACAGGGTTCCCTATGCGCTACCACTTTACCCACGGGAACAGTGGAAACGGGAAGAGGTAAGTTCCCACTTTGCCTAGTTTTATTAAGCTCAGGTTTTCGCGGTTATCAAACACACACAAGAGATTTCAGATCTGATTTGGATTCCTCCTTTCCAATCGAAAAAGTTTATATAGAGCCGAGGCTCTAAACAATCAAATTATACTGTAGAAATACGGGTTTGGCAATAAATATATTTTTAAAATATAATTTGATTTTAATTTTTAGAGAATATATAATCTTTAACATGGAGATCATGAATATGAAGAAATTAAAATTACAATTAAAATTAAAAATATTATTTACATTAAGAAAACATTTGGAACGTTAGTTATACTTCTTTTTAGATGGACCACCTACTTGCATCCATCTTTAAGATGGATGCTTTATACCTTTGGACCGCATATTGTAGAAATGCGGTCCAGCCCGCATGAAACAATTTCCTTTTTGTATTGTAACGTCATTGTTGGTTCCTCACCGCTATATGATTTAATAACAAAGAAGAGAAGATGTTATGTGGTTTTATTTTTCTTCTTGCTGGTTATATGAGTTTAACACTTTCTGTCCTTGCAGGGTTTTCGTTGTGTTTCTATAATGGATTTAAGTTGTGTAAACCACGGTTCACTGTTGGTTGTTTTCTTACTGGGTTTGTTGGTTTTTATTTTTATTTTTTATAAGACTTTGTACAATTAGAAACAGTTAATCCTAGCATGTTGTTAAATTTTTCTATAGTGGTTGAAATATGAACCTATTATTTAAGAATTTCATTTTGATATTGAATACAATACGACAATTATAGCATTATTTGATCTTGGTTTTGTTGCAATTTCAAATGAATTGTGCTCTTGAAGTCAGAGGCATGTTTCATTTCACAAGTTGTGGAATTGTATTAGGTTATGATGTCCTCCATACATGTTCATAAGCTTTGCCTCTAGTTGAACCGGAATATTGTCATGTTTAGTAGGTTAGGTGTCTTTAGCTTATAAGTAATTTACTTTGTCTCTCCCCCTCTCTCTCCCTCGTATATGTATGTATTTCATAAGACGTTTGTGGTAACCTTTTTATACTGATACATATGCATATTTTTTAGTGTACTTGTATGGTCGAAATTTTAATTATTGTTGAGTGTCTTCCTCTCTCAAGGTACATAGATATTGAAACAAATGTCATCCTTAACTATACGTAGCTATAAGAAATGCATGAGATGGATTGTGGCAAGAACATCTTGTTCAAAATATTTATTTTGCGCATCAATTCAATGAAATACACAATGATCAGTTAAAACATGGAGTTTCCGACTTTCTTAATACCAAACAGGTGAAAATAACAGCACAACAAGTTATCAAACTAGTTCTCATCTTTCAGATAACCAATTTTCACTTTCCTCCCAATTTCAAGAAAGTTAGCAGTTAAAATTTTCCCAATGAAACTACATATAAAGTTATCGAACACACCATGTTCTTCTCTTGCTTCTCAATCAATCACGAAAAAAATTCGAAGTCAATGGGGGGTTAAGAGCATACGCACTCCCTAGGCCTTAATGGAATTTGTCACGAGGGAGGAACCTATGTGAAAATACTGGCCTCATCAGTGTGGTAAGTAAACAATTTCTCTTTTTCATAATCGACCGCTCCCCACTCCCAACTTCCAAGTCCCAACAAAAGAAAAAGGAAACTATCTTATCAAAACAAGAGCCAAAGGATATTCTACTCCTTCGGGAGTATACTGTTCATTTACTCCCTCAAGTAAATCTCACTTAGGATTAGTTTTAGGACCCCAAAATTTGGAGATACGACTTCTTTAACACATAGATTAACCTCAATTAAAAATATTTTGTAAGTGACTCCCTAAAACTTGAAAAAATTAATGTAACACCAATCCACATTTTAGTGGCTGAGATCTAAGTGTTAAAAAACTCTAATTTCAATTGTTTTTTAAATAATCATCTAGTGGTTTAATGTGGTTACCCAAATTTTAGATTGAGAAAATCCCCCAAGTAGGTCATGTAACTAAGAGATAGTAGCAGTAAACCATACTTATGAGGGAGCATAATATACGTGCTCAAACAACAAATCACTTCTGTAATCTTTGGACCATTTTTACTTTCAAGAAAATAATTACATTTAAAATCATTTTACTTTCACTAGCTAGATTACGTGTGTTGCACATAGGAAGTAAATTATCATTGTCTGAGTGGTAAGGGATATTGCCATTGGAGAATTGGTTTGATGATGAAGGAACAATATTTGTCAATGGTGTATTTGAAACAAGGAAAGGTTTCTATACTTCCCCTACAGCATAGAAGATTTATGCTTTCCCTACCATCCAGCCCTCCAATTTTGATCAAGAGCGCCACTTACCATTTGATCTTAGATTTGATGTCTCAAAGTATTTTATTTTTAACTTTTTTTATAAAAAAATGTATAAATATGAAATTTGGTACACTGTATCTTCACATTGGGGTGCACCTATAAAAAATATTTAAAATAAATTTTTAATAAAATATAATGACCAAAATACCCCTTAAATCTTTCAAGGGTATTTTGGGTATTTTATTTTATTGGAAATATCGTTTTTATATTTTTTGATAGTGAGAGTTTAATAGAGGATTGAACGTCAAAAATTTGGTATCAAAATAGTTTATAAAAAAAAATTAAAAATAAAATTGTGTAGAGACGTGACATTGTGATTGAGGCAATCTTAGCCATCCATTCAGAATGGTTGGTTAGGGGAAGTATATAAGTTTTATGTTATAGGAGAAGCATAGAAAGCTTGCCATTTTGAAATAAAAGTTGGATAATGAAGTTTAGAGGTTTCCTTTCCCTAAAAATTATGCGAGAAAAAATTGTGTAGAACGACAATGATTTTGAGTTCATACCATTGTCATTGTCACTATTATATAATGTATTATCATAAGCTAATGGATATATTCCATTATCTATATCCTCTATGCAAAAAATCTTTTCCCTCGGAATGGTAAGGGATATTGTCATTAAAGATTTGGTTGGATGATGAAGGAATAGTATTTGTCAATGGTGTATCTGAAATGAAAGCAGGATAATGAAGTTTAGAGGTTTTGTCTCTCTAGAAATTATGTGAGAAAATTTTGTGTGGAACGACAATGGTTAGTTATTTTATTTACTGATTTGGAAGTATATTATGTTGCTATTGATTGATCAATGTTACTGGTTTAGAAACGCATTGTGAAATATTAGTTTCTGAATTTTGAGACTATTCGTATTGCATATGCTGATCTGCCTTTTGCATCAATCTCATATGAGCACGGGAACGTGAATCTTTATGTTAATCTTTGTTTAAAGAACTCTTACAAATTAAATGGTTTCTAGGATTACGACCCATTTCATGTTATTGCATAGTTATACTACAAATGTTGAATATGCATGGAACAGTAATTCAATAAATCATACAACAAATAAAATATGAGTGATTTCTAGAGTTATGATCTCTTTCTTATTATGTAATATCACTATATATTTTGAATATATGTTGAATGTATAGGACAATAAACTAGCAACTTAATCTATTTTTAGAACAAAACATAGTGTGTATGTATGGGGTCCATTCCATTGATTTCGAACAATATTGCACTAAATAAAAATGAACATATGTTATTTGATCTCATGGAAGTACAACATGGATGATAATAATTTTTTAAAAAAGCATGCATGCATGGGGCCAATTCTATTTTATCTCATGGAAGTACAACTTAATCTATTTTTAAGAATTTAGATTATCATATGAAAAAATATTTTCATCAAATACAATGTCTATATATACAAACCCACGTTGTAGGTAGATGCAAATATTTGTAACCGTTATGTTGAATACTGGAACCAAAAATTACACATGGAAGAGAACAAAGAATTATCTACGACATAGTCTCAAAGGTACAGAACCAATCGACACCCAAAAACCCGGAGTGAAAAATAGTTTGGTAGGTAGCCAAAAAACAAAGAATATGTTGAATCTATTTGCTAATTGGTGGATATAATATTGTTTATTACAAAGACTGTTGTATTCGAAACTTCAACCCAAAACCATTTAGAAATTCCTACATGAAACATCATTATAAGACCCATTTCTATAATATTTCATTATTTCTTTTCAACTATTCTATTTTATTCAGCGGTTCTCGAATATGATATATGTTGCATAATTCCATTATCAGTAAGATGAGCAATGAATTCCTTTTTAGCAAACTCACCACCTCCTTCACTTTGAAAATTTTGAATTTGTTTTTCAAATGTCCTTTCAACCATACGATGAAATTTAAAAAATGCACAGAAAATTTCAAATGTTATTTTCAAATGATAAATCTAAGTAAAACGAGTATAATCATCCAAAAACACTACATAAAAGTGATTACTCATATAAAAATTGGAGCAGGGCCCCACAAATCTGAATGAATCTTAAAAAAAGGTTTTGTAGAGGTCTTATTAGTACTACTGAATAGAAGTTACAATTTTTCCCCAACCGACAACTAGCACAAACATAATGGAATTTATTTCATGCATCAACATTAATTAACTGTTTAGATTACAAGTAATAGATTGCTTTATTTTGAGGATGTTTGAATTGTTGTTGCCACACATCTTCTGGTGTTCTCTTATTTCGATTAGAAAATAAAGCTTCGTTCACATCTTTCAGTGCATAAAGTTCTCCCTTTCTACTCCACTCCCCATGCTCATTTCTTTAATTAGAAAACTATTTAATGAGAACTCAAAGATATAAAGAATATCTTTTGTAAACTAGCTAACATATAATAAATTCTTTTAGCATTTGGAAGTAAAAGAACATTAGAAATATTAAAATTTCTAGACTTACCATCAATATTTGTATCACCAACAAGTGAAATAATCAATTGCTCACCATTGCTAACCATCACTGTATTTGTATGTAATGACCTAGAATTTCTTGGCAAGATAGAGTGCACGACGGGATAATGAGGGGAGCGCGCTGCAGTGG